GCTCTGAGTCCTGCTGGACAGTGAGCTCTCCATGACCAGCAGTGTCCTGGTGACCCAGAGTGCCAACAGGAGCCTGGGGTGCATTGGGAAGAGCATTTCCAGCAGGTCAGGGAGTGATTCTGCCTCTCTGCTCAACCCCTTGAGGCACCTCTGGGCTGCTGTGTCCAGCTCTGGATGCTCAGGACAGGGAGCTCCTGGAGCAGATCCAGCAGAGGCTGCGGAGCTGAGGAAGGGCCTGGAGCATTTCTGTGCCCAGGAAAGGCTGAGGGAGCTGGGGAGTCCCTGGGTGTCCCTGGGTGCAGGGCCAGGCTCTGACCAGAGGAATGGGCAGGGACTGAGCCAGGAATTGCACAGGAGGCACAACTCTGCCCTGGGCACTGCCTGAGCCCTGGCACAGATCTTCCAGATGTTTCCATGCTTTTCCTTCCTCTGTTACCCATCCTAGCCAGACTCAGCTACCACAGACAGGTCAGCACAGGTTTGGTCTCTCTTTCTCCTTGTAAATCTACAAAGCAGGCTTAGTGCTGCTGCAGCAGCAAAAAGCAACCCAGCAGGAAAATGGAAAATATCCATTAATTCATGTGCTGCAACAAAAAATCATGCTTGAAATGTCTGTTTAAAAAAGATGGGAACAGAGAACATGGAGTTCACTATTACTAATCTTAATAAAGGACATTCAATCCTGCATAGGATGGGGGGTGGGACAGCTGCCCACCCTGCAAAAGGGTTGAATCTCCTGTAAAAAGGGGTTTAAATTTTAGGTGGCAGCTATTTAGGTACACAAACCCATTTTCTTCTCCCAGTGATGTGGCTGACCTGCCCTTTTAGCAGATAAGTAGGAACAATATTGGTCTAAAGAACTTAAACCAGACAGAACTCCAATGCCCACAGAGAAAGAGCAGATGTAACACACACAGGGGAGTGTAAAAAAGTTGAGATTTGGAGACAGGTAAAACTTGCAGTGAAGTAAAAAAGGTGGCTGAGTTTGCCAGTCACGGGACTCTGAATCACAGACCTGTTACAACAGTGCCTAAGAGAACCAGGGAATTTCTGCCTTGAAAACTCAGAAGTTTTGCAGCAAAATATTTTTACAACAAAAGCCCCATGTCTTGTTTTAAAGAGACTGCATAATGTTACTCATGACTCATCAGACCCCATTAGTAAATGCTGAAAATGGAAATAAATCCCATAAAGCAAAACCATAAGCTAATAAGTGCTGATAGACTTCAAAGGGATCCCTTATAAAACAAAATGTCCAACTATAAAGTAAAAGTGCAAACTCCACAAAAAAGGCTTCATCAATATATTGTCTAACAGCCATAGTCATCATCATAAATTAGGTGGCTTTTTTTAAAGTTTCATTTTTTATTTAAACTGTAAGAAAGAGGTGCATCACCCTCAATTTAAGTTGCTGCAACACTGTTTTTACCTACCTGTCACCTTAATTTTCAGATACAATTTCAGAGGGGAGCTGCTGTTTGCATAATCCATTCAAATACTTAGTAATAAAAGCACTGGAATAAAACTACTTAGGATTTAATTATTATTTTAACTACAATGCTTTGTCAAGGGTGGAACTCCACTACTTTCAGTGATCTAATTTTCCCTCTGCACTAAGTGTGCCCAAGATTTAAGTTCTCATTATCCGTAATTGAATTGGGTACAGAAAAAATAAAGGACATTAGGATGAAATAAAACTTAAATAAATCCATATGAACCTTGAGATAAGCTGAAAGCTTGCAAAGGAACTGGAAAGCAAAAGCACAATAAAGACAAAGATAAAACTGTTTGTTTTGTTACAATCAACAAATGAAGGCAAACTACCCAACCATTAATTAATTAATTAAGGTGCCCATATATGTAAATACCTGAATTTATTGCTCCCACCTGCTGCTACCCAGAAAATACCAAATAATCCTGAAATAGGATAAAATTTCAATCAACAGCACCTTTACTTTTAATGTGGAAGCAGCAAAATTGCCCAGGCAATGTGCTCTTCTCCACAAACAAAGCCACAAACAGAGGATTTGGGAAACAAAATGAATTTTACAAACACATCAGTTGTTGTAATAATCCCTACTGAAATGTCCCTTTGAGGCTGTGTTCACACAGGAGGATCAGCACTATTGGAAAGGATAAAGAATGACATTGAAACACAGGCAAACAATTAACAACTCTTATGGAAAACATTCAGTAAGGGAGAAAATGATCCATATTTCCACTATTCCACATAACAGATCAATTAGGAAGGTATTGAACAGAACCACTTGTACCTGGAAACCCTGCTGCTGTTTTCCCCAGCAAATTAAAGCAGCACTGAAGGCTGGACTATGCTCTCTGGCACATTCATATCTCTGAACCCTTCCAGTTTCCAAAGCAGAGCAGTGAATCCCAAGTGCCTGTGGAGCAGAGCAGCCAAACCCTGCCTGGTGCTGTGCTGGGGGATTGTCTGGCTGAGCATCAGCTGGGCTGGCCAAACCCTGAACAATGCCAGGGCTGGCATTCTCGTGACCAGGGACATTTTTTGGCACTCTTTGTCTCCCCAGCACTCACACAGGGGTTTGATGATCTGTGTGTGGCTCCTCCTATGCACCACATTTTTAGTCATAGCTGATGGTGATGAAGTTTTTCCTCAGCACATGGCTGTGTTTTCCTCCAGTGAGGAAAAGTTGAGAGAATTGGGAATGCTCAGCCTCATTGTGGCCTTGCAGTGGCTGAGGGGAGCTCACAGGAGAGATGAGGAGAGACTTTTCACAAGGGCCTGGAGGAGCAGGACAACTGAAACAGAGCAGGGTTAGATTGGATATCAGGAAAAAATCCTTCCCTGTGAGGGTGGTGAGGCTCCCAGAGAAGCTGTGGCTGCCCCTGGTCCCTGCAAGTGTCCAAGGCCAGTCTGGGTTACCCTGGTTTAGTGGAATGTGCCCTCCCTGCCCACAGCAAATTTCTTGCCATCTCTGATCAGATGGAATCATGTGCCAGTCCATGTTCTAAAGTTTAATACTAATGTTAACTGGGGGGAATAAAGGGCTTCAGAATAAGTGAGAGAGCCTGCCTTAACAAAATAATTACAGTCAAAACCTGCACAAAGTCTGATCAACAATTTTGGTACAAAGGCTACATTTAGATTTTCCACAGAACCAGCAATAACAGAAGACTTTAAACCTTGTTTAAAGGTTAACAGCAGCAGTTGCAACAATTGTACAAAATGCAGATTCAGGAGTTGTCAGGAGTTCAACTCTCTGCTGGTCCTTTACAAAGTTTGTCTTTTAAACATCTCATTTGAAGGTCATGCAACCACTTTTCAAACCAAAGCAACAGTGAGAAGAGTAGCAATGACTATTTAATTTATTTCACTCCATTTTGAACAACCCAGATATTTGATAACTTATTTTAAATTGTGTTGCATGGCTGAACAATCCAGATGGGCAAATGATCTGTGAAATTCTGAGCAACTTAAACTCATGCAGCAGGGCACAAACGATGAAATGCAGCTTTGCCACCTTCCTTGGAACCATTTTATTTTCTTATGTTATTGACACCCTGTATTTTAACCTAAGCCTTGAAAAACTCCACTCCAAAATTACGAATTTTCGTCAGTTTCTTTACAGAATCAGCTAGAACTGGGACTAGAGTGACAGAAAAGGAAATTTCACGATGATGTAAGTGTGAATCCTACTAAAGAGAATTTCACATCCAAAAGCAGGGCAGATATAATTGTGATAATGCTCACTGGGACATTTGACTTCTTGGTGCCCAGCTCCCAAACTGCCACCTCCTGCTACAAAGCACGGGATGAGCTGAGTAATCCAGCTTAAAACAGAATTCCAACCAGCCTGAACAAATGCTGAAAGAAAGGTGTAACTTTTGTGCTGTCCTTTACCAGGACTTAGACCCATAAGTTCTGGGGAGGTAAAAGTGCTCAGGTCAGATAATGATTCACAAAATCTTCTGGAGACAACTAGGAATTCTTTTTTAAAGAACAAGAGTGAGGCTTTTCCCTGAAAATCCAGTAAAAATAGAAGATAACAGCAGAACCTTTCTTCACAGAATCCTTTAGAATAAGAATAGTTCAAAAGTTAGAGCCAGGTGCTGCTGATATTTCATGTGTGCACTGGGAGAGACAAAAATAAGATTTGAGACACTTAAGCCCCTACATCTCCATTCTTTAAAGCACTGCCTTAACAATTTGATGTCCAGCTCTCAGTGCCTTGTTCTGGGAAATGAGAGGCAGCCTGGAAAATCCTGAGGTAGAGAAAAGTACCTGCTGCTAGAAAATGGGGAGAACAGCTTCTCTTCTTCCTTCTCTCTGTAAATCAAAGTGCCCACAGCTGCTTGTTTTTGCAGAGCTGAGCTCTTCTGAAACATTTCCCTTGCCACTTTGATAGAGAAATACTCCAGAGTCCTGCTAGGCCTCTTTATTCCTCAAGTAACACATTGTTCTTTTTTTGGGGCTCCTTTGTCTGAACAAACTCAAGATTTTTCTTTTCCAATGCTTAATTTTCCACAATGCCCACCCAAAGGGTTGTTATGTTGGCTTAGGAGAAAAGACAGGAAATAAACCTCCCTCTGATTAGGAAAAAGTGACCTGTTCTACTTTAAAACCACAGAACATTGGCAAAGCAACAGCAGAAAGGCAAATCCATGTTTTAATTGCTGTGGCAAAGAAAGGAACACAAGGCCTTCTCCAGGGATGTCACTCATGGCAGTTAATTAGTTCAGATGGGAAGAACTAATAGACTTTCTGGGGAAAAAAGCACTTTTGTGTGGTGGCAAAGAGCACATGTGACACTTACCAGGGTCTCTGTTTGCAGGACATTTGCTGCCACAGTTTGGAATAAGCAGCACAGCTGATGGCTGGGAGTCTGATGCAATGTACTCACACCAAATGTTAAAAACACTTGCCAAGTTTTTCTTACTCAAGGCACCTTCCACCAGTAAAATGCCTACTTAAATCACCAGGGGAAAAAAAAAATTGCCTGCACTGTGATTTTTCCTACTGCAATCCTACATGGAATGCTGGAGAAGGCAGAGCATGGCAACACTACAAGATGCTTGGTTTTTCTTTCTTTTTTTTTTTTTTTTTTCTTATAAATGTACATCCCACTTGTAGCCTAGCAACAAAAGCAGCAGCCAGGGTGAGACGAGCCTGCTGCTGGGGCTCTCTCCTCAAAACAGGAGCCATCTTTGGCGTGGAACTTGACCAGAGATTTCATCATTCTGCATTAAAGCCAGCTCCAGATGTTAGAGGTGCCTGCAGCCAGCTCAGCTCTGTCAGCTCTGCTTTGCCACCTCCTCTCCTCTGCACGAGGCACGTCCAGAGACACTGCATGTGTTCAGCTCATCTCCACATTCAGGAGAATAAACCTCCTTTGCTAACCAAGGTTAGTGCAACCTCTCATTTCAGTGCTGACTGCTGCAAGCTTGTTTCTGCTCCTTGTGTTTTAACCCCCACCAATAAACTGCAGTAGCTTTGGCTCTACCCCAGGTGTGTTCATGGCTCTCTTATGTACTTTTCACTATTTCATTAAATTTTTCTGTCCAGGTGATATTTCAATTGCATGTTGGCACAAAGCCAATCCTCACCCCACCCAGCAATATAATAACAATAGATTATTTATAATATAATAAATTTTTAAAAATTATTAATACTCATATTTAAAATTCTGTTTCTGACTACCAGGTGTCTGACCTTGGAGTTATCTGGCGATTTCCTCCCCTGGAAGTGATGATCCTGCAGCAGGGAGCCTTGTCTCTTGCAGGCCTGGAATCGGTGCTGCTGTCACGCAATCCCTGTGACACAGACAGCGCTGCTCAGGGGACAGCGAGTGGACAGGGACACGTTTTGGGAGCTGTTTCGTGTGCAGGGAGGAGGGGGCTGTGACAGTGTTACAGCCCCACACTGCCAGCATCCAGCTCCCACAGGGACAGGGTGGCCCATGAGGCTGGGACCCTGGGGAGGTGACAGGGGTGACACACACAGAGCTAGGCCCCGAGGGATGCAGGGGATCACACACGGGGCTGGAGCTCTGTGGAGGGCACAGGGTGACAAAACAGATCAGGGGTTCTGCAGGGTAAAGGAGGTGACACACGGGGCTGGTCCCCCGTGGAGGGTCTGGAGGAGGCAGATGGGGC